TGATGTTACTCTAGCGTCTAACCTCATTTCCTCTTCATATTGAAGGCCTTTTTTATTAAAATCCGTAAACTTTTCTATTATATCCGCAGTTTGCGTTCATATCACACACCACAAGCCTTAATTTGGCGATTTATAGATGCCCCCTCATTCTTTACTGCTCTCCAGTTATTTTTTGCAGCTTTGCTTAAGAAATACCTGGCCATTTTTAAAAATATCGTCCGAATGCTCTCTTCAGCTGCCTGTTTTCGTAGCTGATATTAGAATGCAGTGACACCTTAAAATGGTCAGGTAATTTGCTGATCGCATCCTTAGTGAGGTTCTTCACCCTCTCCACTCTGAATTAATGACTGCGAAGTCTTTCTGTCATTTGTCTTGCCGTACATCGGCATATCTGTACTCCCATTCTTAGCACGCCACCTTGCGTGTTAAGAAACGGAAATTGAATAGTTGAAAGCCGACCCGTCTACACAACAGATGTGGATATCTTGTAAACCTTTTAACTTTGAGTATCCTGTGACACTTTTCCCTAGGCCTTGCTCTCTGTGAATTAAGCCGTTTTTACGATATATATACGTCGCCTGCGTTCATATCGCACACCGCAAACTCTAATTTGGAAATTTGTAGATGCCTGCATTCTTCCCTGCTTTCCAGTTATTCATCCAGCTTTACTTAAAAAAAGATGTGGTCATTTTAAGGGTATCATCTGAATGCTCTCTTCAGCCGCCTGTGTCTTCTACGTTTTTGACTGATGTTGTGCTACAATGACACTTTAAAACGGTCAAGCAATTTGCTGATTGCATTCTTGATGAGGTTATTCACCCTCTCCAGTCTGAACTAATGGCTGCCAAGTCATCCCGTACTGTGCACCGAAGCTTCCGTCATATGTCATTCCGTACATCGGCATATCAGCACTCTACTCCTATTGCTAGCACGCTACCTCACGTGTAAGGGGACGGAAATTCGGAAGTTGGAATCAGCTCTCTATGCATAACAGATTTGGATATCGTGTAAACCTTTAAACGTTGAGTTTTCTATGACCTTATCCCTTGCTCTCCGTGAATTGAGCTGCTTTTTGGTAAATATTTTCGGTATTTA